TGTCATAGTAATATAAAATCATTTATTGATTTTAGATAATTATGACATGAATGCTATGTCACCTTTTTACTGAATCATTTGTTTAATGTCTTAATCAACTGTTGCACYYTGTGCTTCTTTTTAAGATTGATATTTTCTTAGTTGTTAATCAAACCTCCCCATTTTAGATAAATCAAATACCTCGATTCGCCATCTGAAATTAATTTTTATAAACTGGACTTTCGAAATAACTTTACAAGCTATCTCTATGGGAACGATATCTGGTACATTTTACCATTATTACTTGTTACGAGACGACAGTAGTTCGAGGTGTATACTTGCGCCGAGTTCTATTTTTGTGTTGGAATCTAAGGTTGAATAAACCGACGAGCACTCTGCTTTATTGCTTCTTCATCTGCCTCTTTTTCTTTGATTCCAAAGTCTTTTCCAGTTCATAAATTTTAGATTTCAAACCAAAATTTTCCTTTAACTGTTCAAAGTCTGTCCTTCGACTCCCTCTGAAATCATAAACATTTCCAAGTAATACATCAATATCAGCTTGAAGATATTCCTTTTCCTCTTTAGATTTTTCAAGATCTTGTTTCAGCTCTTTTGCTCATTCCAAATTAGAGTGATTTTCAAGAAACATATTCACATATTTATCTTTATAATCCTTTAAGCTTTTACTAACCTCTCCGTCACTGCGTCTTCTACCTCTCGATCTCTCTCTCTCTCTCTCTCAGGCTCTCGCTGACCGTCTTCTACCTCTCGATCTCTCTCTCAAGCTCTCGCCTACCGTCTTGTACCTCTCCATCGCTCGATTTAAGGTATCCATCTCGATCTCTCAAGCTCTCAATCTCTCGATTTTCTTTCTCCTTGCTTGGTTTTTGTTTTGCCTGGTTCAAAAAATGGTTTAGGGTTTACCTCCTATAAGGGGTTTTTGTATGTGAACCCCACAGTTGAAATCCTATAAGGGGTTTTGTATGTGTCTGTATGTTGCTATTTTTCTCTCATGGACCATGTAATCAGTTCAGCATTAACAATGATAATAGACACATGACATAATGAACTTACCCATAGGCTCTGAGATCAATATATCGGCTTTCTCTGGCAATTCTACATCTTCAACTTTGCCCTTGATAACCTGCATTTTAATGACAGGGTCCCCCCAGGATAAGACATAGAGCATTACATGTAGATTGCCTTGTACTAAGAAATGGCACAAAATGTATTCTTTGTCCCAATATAGGATTCCCAGTAATAAGCTTCTGAGCATAGTCAGCCATTTCAGATGCTTCCACAGCATAATATTAGATCGATAATCAGACAGGTAAGTGGATAGTAATTGGAATGGATTAGATTGGTTCAGTTTTACTAGATTTTGAATTGTCATCCAAGAACCGAACGATCCAATTCGTGGGTGTCTGTATTATCCTCTTTCTTATGGTTTTCCCTTTTGCCTCTGAGCAAAACTTTCTGCCACTAAAATGGGGCATCAACCCGTACTTCATACTTCAATTTTTGGAGGTAAATGCTCAGATTTTAGTCAATTAGTATGTTCTTCCTACTCTTCTTAAACTTTTTGATGATGACAAATTAATATTTGAGTGTTATTCTTGCTATTTGTATGTTCGTTAGTTTTCCTAACCGTTGGTTTCTCCTATCTTTTTTGTCTTCAGATTTGGTTTGTGAATTAAATAATAACTTGTACTCTTTCATGAATTTGAGTCATGGGTTTGTTTTGTGTTGGATAGAGTCAAAGAGACCCTCTTCTTCTTTGAACATGAATCCAAAGCTATTGTTTTTGAATTTAGGGAAGAATCCATGATGCATCTTTAAGAACCATTTGTGTTTTTTTTTTTCCAAAATACACATTTAAGTCTAGGACAACAATTTTGTCCAAGAATTTATCCAAATTCTTTTGATTAGACATCCTAGTTCTTATGGTGTTGTTATGCTGTGAACTTGAGGACACTTGATTATCTTTACTGTTATGTTGGACCCTWGATTAATTTCAATCACTTTCCTTGGACCTGATTGGAAGATACCRTTGAAATTCTAATAATTGTTAATAATTGGTAGATGTACGAGAGGCTTTAAGTTCTTGACAACTGTTCATACATGAATTTGTTAAATAACTACATTTACATATACTTTATGTCCTCATTATTCAAAAATATTAATTGGAAAATGATAAATTTATGTTTTTCAGTGATCTGCCGGTATAAGAAAGTGATTTTCCAAATTTGAAAATTGATAAAACAAAGGTAAGTTATTGATTGAACAGGTTAAGGTCTTTAACATYTACTAATGTCAATGGTGTGGATGGTCTAGGAGTTTGCTTGCAATGACTTAAAAGTAATTAGAACATGAGGCRGACGTATACCAGTTTTGGCCTTTTAGGTAGGTAAACAGGTGTTTTGTTTTTGCAGTTGCTTTGACCAAATTTTCGGTTTAAGCAGAACCAAATTGATTTTACTGTTTACAAGATTAGACAGAACAGCCTCAGCTTGTCAACGGAATTTTCATTTTCTTTCATCAAATTGCGCATTTCATCAGGTTTTAATTGAATAATAGTTGGATACCAATGCCAGTTTAGCAAATCAGCGAAAAAAGAAAAAGTTGAGTGGTATATTGACCTGTTCTCACATAATCCTGCAACATATTTTGCTGATGTAGCAGCTGCCCATAGCAATGGAAATACATTTTAGCAGAAGATGCTTCTATTTTATCATCAAATAGTGATTGCACTTGCTGCTATAAAATATAATCTGCATAAAATATGATTACCATCCTAMAGTGCTTTTTCATTAGATGTTTTCACTCTTTTACTTTATTTTTAATCTATGTGAAAAGAGTAACCCAGCCATCTTGTATAAGCAAAGATGTCTAATATCTAGCCGCATATGCAAGATATTTTTCAAAGGGGTAAAAAATTTATGTACTTGATAGAATGATAGAACAAGGAAGAGCATAACTATGTTGCTTCTGTTTGCCCCTTTTGGATTTTGAAACATTTTGGTTGCTTTGATGCTAATATTTCTATTTCATTTGGCTTTTTGGAGCTTATAAGCCAGTGATTATGATTTGACTGTAGTATTTGTAATCTAAATCAAATGGGTTCTTTTAGAATAAAATTGAAACTGTGGTAATTCTTTCAATTTTCTGATTGTTTCTTGCATGTTTAGTGGCTTGTTTTTGGTTGATATCATGCTTGTGATTACTTTGAAGTTGGTTAAATGGTATCTTGTCATTAAATGCTTGTTTTTATCTTTTCTGCTTGATAGTCATGGATGATAATGTGCGTGTGAAGTGGACAAACGAACTTACCAAACGGTTTCTAGAGACTTGTATAGAAGAGGTCCATAAAGTGGGTCGAAATGGAGGTAGTCTTCGCAAGGAGACTTGGGTGAAAGTGGAAATCAAACTTGAGGAAGTTTGCCATGTAAAACTCACCCAGAAACAACTGAAAAACCAATATGATTATTTGAAGGGAAAGTATTCGAGATGGGTGTACCTAAGGAATAAAACAGGGAATATTTATGACCCTGAAATGAATACGTTCATCCTAACTAATCAAGAATGGGAAGATTTCTTTAAGGTTAGTTTTTATTCTTTTTTACCTTTTTAGATATTATAGACAAAAACACGAGTTTTATATAAATAATAATACTTATAATTTGGACGCAGGGACATCCAAAGGCACGAACATTAAAGACTGCACCATTGATATACCCTGATTTGTGTATAGCTTTGTTTGAGGGGACTTCTGCTACCGGATCTCGTGCCTATGCCCCTAGTTCAACCCGTGAGAGGACTACGATTTCATCTTCATCATTTACATCCAATATCCCTACTACTCAAGAAATATATGGTAGTTTACAAATGGTTTAAATGATTGGATATTTCAGTTAAATTTAATTGAAATGAATTGATTCAGATTTCAGACTTCAGAAGTTTGTCAGTTTACAAAAACAAACAGTCTTATTGATTCAGATTTCAGATTTCAGATTTCAGATGTAAAAACAAACAGTCTGACTGATTCAGATTTCAGATTTCAGACGTAAAAACAAACAGTCTGACTGATTCAGATTTCAGATTTCAGACGTAAAAACAAACAGTCTGACTGATTCAGATTTCAGATTTCAGACGTAAAAATAAACAGTCTGACTGATTCAGATTTCAGACTTTAGCACAACCTCTTAAAATTCAGAAGTGAATTCAGACTTCAGACTTAAGCACCTCTTAAAAAACAAACGCCACCTAAGTCTCATGTTCATTGGTTAAACGATCGATTTACCGTGATTTTAACAAAACAGTGGATGATTTCAGAAACATATTTGACAGTCGGGTAAAAACCCTATAGTTTGAACTAGTTCAAATCCGAACTAGGTTTTGGTTTCTTCTAACAAAATAAACTACACACATAGATGGTTTTTCTATAAAAATTGTAGAACTTAATAAGGTTCCTACGATTTATGGTGATATTTTCTTTGACATGCATAGGGGCTGTTTTACAGCCTAGAAATACCAAGGGAGGAAAGGCTTACCTTTTATGATCGGACCTTGAAGAAACTCAACCAAATCCCTCTCCCTTTTCCCGTTCTTCTTCTTCCTCTAGCTTTTTCTCTCCCTAGCTTTCTCTCTATGTGATTATGGTATGTGTGTGTTTGTGTGTTAGAGTTATAAGTAAAGAAGAAGAAGAAATCTATGAGGAAGATTATGAGTCTTGGCGTTAAGTGAGTTAAATCATGACATTCAATATGTGTAACTCCTCAAGGTTGTCCAATCATCAACTAGCTACTTGCAACTTCTATATATCGACACTTTAGGCCCTTCTAATTCCTTCTCTTATTTTTAAAACACCCTGCCTATAACTTGTAACATTTGGGTTATCCGAGATTCCATTTTAGTCTCTCATAATTAACCCTAACATTTTAAAGTTACGAGTGCAACCTATCAATTTTAGTCATTTGCTAAGCCCTTAATATTTTCCTAACAAAATAAATAATTAATTGTGTAATTAAAAATGGGGCGTTACATATTTTGGGCCTAACACTAACCATGTCCATTGCCACGTGTTTTAATATCATTGGACCAACTATTAAGACAAGTCATAAATGCAATTAATCAATTTTAAAAAACCCGTTCGTTTCTAATCTGCACGCCTAATGATGCGATTAACCACTCTACTCTTACACATGTCACTATACAAACAAACCGTTCAAGTTCTTAATTTAAATCGAAACCCATATATACTCCATATCTGTCAATCGTTCATACTCCCGCTTTCATTTACCTCACACAAACTTACCTCTTTGCAATCACATAACTCACAAAGCAAACCATAAATGGCTCACTCACAATCCAATGTCCAAAAAACAATCCACACCACCAAAACCTGCTTCGAACCCTCCTCCTCCTCTGATTCTAACAATGAGGTCAACCAGGGTACTTCGATCCTGGTTGGAAACATTGAAATTGCGCTGCAACAACTTGTCTCTCTTCCTTTAGGAAATCACTCCTCATCACTCAACTCTGAATTCAATCACCCGTCTCCGATTCCAAACCCGAATGAAGAACACCAGACTCAAAAACCTAAACAAGACATACTTGCACCTGCTGAATCCCAAGGTGAAGTGGGTGATGCTCATGGAAATCACCCAGCAAAGACTGCTGCTATGTCAGAAGCCACCGAAAAACCTGATGTAAGCAAAGTTTTTTTTGCCAAAATCTAAATATGACCTCATCAAGGAAAACAACAGTGCACTAAACCTCAACTCTGAAAAATTCAAACATGATCACCAGATTGTGATTGAAATTCTTAAAGGACATCAACTCAAAAGGATGTTCACCAGAAGGTATGAAGTTCACGTTCAAAATATTCAACAGTGGTGGAGAAACCTAACATACGATAAAGAAGAAAATGAACTTGTTTCAAGGTAGGAGGGTACAGTTTTTCACTATCCTTGGAACTCATAAGAAAGATACTCTTCCTACCAAACATGCATGAAGTCTTGAGGAAATCAAACTTTGACTCTGTACCGTCTCAGAAACAGATGATCAAAGACTTCATCTAATTGGGATACAAATATCCCTTGCCAACACTAAGTAGCTTCAGGAGAATGGGTTTGCCACCTGTTTGGTACCGTCTCTACTCTTATATCAATAGGTTTTTATCACCCAAAGCCTCAAGCCTGGACCAAGCATCAAGGACGACACTGACGATCTTCAATGGTATAGCCTTCAATATGCATTATGATTATGCATAGCTATTCATAGAAGAGATGAAAACATACATTTAAAATCCCCCTGGGTACATTCCATTTCAAAGATTCTTCCAACTCTATGTCAAGGGAGTAATACACTTGCAACCAAGAATTCCAGCCAAAGAAGTAGAGGAGATGGCCCCACAATTCTACATGGATTCACTCAGGTTATCCACTTCTTTTTATAACTTCAGAAATCATATGCCACCCCCTTGGAGTTTGGAGCATATGTTATGAATGACAATTGGGTACTTAGAGAATATTGTGCTTCTATGGGACTGCCAGAACCAACAGACCCTACCCAAGAAGCAACCCCCGTTAGGACGAGTGGTGAGGGGTCTAAAGAAAAGAGTGTTGGGAATGAGACACACAGGGTTAAGTCTCCTCAAAGTGTAGAGAGGAAAAAAGATGTTGAGAGCATGGGTAGAAGGGGTAAAAACAAAAGAGAGGCTTTAGAGAGATCAGGGTCAAAAAAAGAAAGGACCTTGCCCCATCCCCAAAAAGTTGAGCATCCATATCTCTTATCTCTTAACACTCTTTGGTGGAAGGTATTTGTTGATCCTCTCTCACAGTGATTTGATGATAATCCCTTTTCACTTATACGTTGTATTTATGTTTCTGTCTTTTCAGTTCCAGCAATCATCACTGAGCTTGTTCAGTGATCACTGAAGAACTTGTATTGTAATTTGATCAGAGACAGCGATACTTCAAGAAGACAACACTCAAACCAAAGAACCTTCAGCCAAAGTCGCAGAACTTGTATTGTGTTTGTATTCTTCCCCCCCCCTTCTACAAACTGTTTTACTTATTGTAGACCCTCAAGGGACCAACAAGTGGTATCAGAGCAGTGTTTTCTTCTCTCTTTCTATTTAGCTATTTTCTATATTAGTTTATCTCTTTCTTAGATAACTTTACCGCTTAAAAATGGCTTTACAAATTACAAACACACACACACACAAGACAATGGCTCTCTTGCCAAACCTCCCTGGTTTACCCGTAACAATTTTAGTCTCTAGAAGAACCGGATGTCCCTCTTTCTTGAAGGTGTGGATCCTGAAATTACACATTACATAGAAAATGGACCATATATTCCATTTGCTATTGCTCCGGCTATTCCAGCAACAACTATGACTGCTGCGATTCTTGAACGACAGATTCCAAAGCTCCCACATCAATGAAGCGATGAAGATAAGAAGAAAATAGCTATAGACACGCGCGCTCGGTCTATAATAGCTATTTCTCTTCCCAATGAGATTTATCACTCAGTGATGAAGCTCAAAACCTCTAAAGCAATGTGGGACACACTTTGTGTCCAATATGAAGGAACCCCTCAGGTTCAAGAGACCAGAAAGATCAATCTAGTAAGACAGTATGAAAGCTTTCTCTATGGAAAGTCTGAGATGCTGTCCGAACTACATCAACGATTTAACTGCTTCCTTATTGATCTTAAGGCTGTCAGCAGGGAATATTCCAATTCTGAAACTTTAACCAAGTTTCTAGAATGCCTTCCTGAGTCTTGGGATACCTTTTCCATGTGTCTCAAGATGTCCAATGACATGTCCACTCTTTCTCTTTCTACTTTATACAAGATTCTGCTTAACCATGAGCAATCTCGTCAACTAAAAAGAAATATTGTAACAGATTCCAGGAAAATGAAAAGCGCTCCTTTGGCTTTGATCTCTGAAGCTTCTTCAGCTGAAACTTCTTCTACCCCTTTTGTCTCTTCTCTTCCTCCTGTTGTTATAACAGAGATAGACTCTTCTATCTCTGAGGATATTCCAGAATCTGACTTAACAGATTTTGATGAATCCCTGGCCCTCCTGACTAAGTCTTTCAGAAGATTTTCCAGTAAAAGCAATATCCGCAGATTTCCTCAGTTGTCCCTCAGGGAAAAGCCAAAGTCTGAAAGAATAGACAAGGCTTCAGCTGTCTGCTACAACTGTCACCGGCCCAGACATTTTGCAGGTGAATGCAGATCAAAGAAGACTGCGACACCATCCTCCAAAGCTCCTTGCTCCTTCAAGACTAAAGATGAAAAGTACTTAAAACTGAAGGAGAAGTACAGGAAGATAAAGAACAACCAGCGTAAGGCTAAAGGCCTTGTCACTGAAGAGCATGACTGGGCTGAGTCACCCGATGAATCATCTTTAGATGAAGAGGATACAACCTATATCTGCTTGATGACCATAGATGCATATGAAGGTTCTTCAGAAGCATCTACTTCCTCTGAGCCATCCACCTCTTCTATTTCTTAGGTATGTTCCCTGAATGAACCCTCTTCTTCTTCCAGTCTTTTTGCACTGGATACGTTGACGGTTGACCTTTACAATGCCCTCAATGGCAAATCGAAAGCAGAAATGCTTAACGTTGATCTTCAAGAGCAATTGAAGATTTGCCATTCTAAGATCAAAGAACTGACCTCTGTCGAGGAAAATCTTAAAGATCAGATTATTGTAAAATAAGCCATCACCGTTGAACGTGAGAAGGCTATAGTTGAGCGTGAGCGAGCAATCGCTGAACTCAAGGCTGAGAAAGCTACCATTGAAGGGTGGTGCAAAGCTTCCATCAAGGCCTTTGAGATCATTAACGCTCAGATCCCCGTCAAGATAACGACTGGTCTAGGAT